AGCTCAGGGATTTACTCAACAGGCTGGGGTTGATTTTTCAGAAACTTTTAGTCCTGTTGTCAAGCCTACTACTGTTCGTATTGTTTTATCTTTAGCGGTTTCCTTTGGTTGGACCATGCGTCAATTAGATGTTAAAAATGCATTCCTTCATGGAAATTTGACCGAGGAAGTTTATATGCGTCAGCCGCCCGGTTTCATTCATCCTCAATTTCCTAATCATGTTTGTCGTCTGCGAAAGGCAATTTATGGTCTTAAACAAGCCCCTCGGGCCTGGTTTTACAGGTTTAGTAGTTTTCTTCTGACTCATGGCTTTATATGCAGCAAGTCTGATAATTCTCTATTTATTTATCGTCACGGGTCATCTGTTTTCTCTACCTTCTCCTCTATGTGGATGATATTATTATTACTGGTAATTCCCCTTCCTTTATTTCTTCATTTATTTCATGTCTGGGCCGTTACTTTGCTATGAAGGACTTGGGGGATTTACATTTTTTCCTGGGTGTCCAAGCTGTTCGTTTCTCTAAAGGTCTGTTTTTATCTCAACAAAAATATGTGTCTGACCTATTAGCCCGATTTCATCTTCATACACTTAAACCTGTTCGCACCCCTCTTCCTTCTAGGACTAAATTATCTCTCACTGATGGTGAACTTCTTGCAAATCCTACTGAGTACAGAAGTATGGTAGGTGCTTTACAGTATTTAACCATGACTCGACTTGATATTACTTTTGTTGTTCACCTGGTTTCCCAATTTATGCATGCTCCTCGTACTTCACATATTTTGGCGGTTAAGCGCATTTTCAGGTACTTACAGGGTACTTCAGCTCACGGCCTATTGCTTCAGCCAGATCGGGCATCTCCTACTGTTAATGCCTATTCTGATGCGGATTGGGCCGGTTGTCCTGACAGTAGTTGGTCCACGTCTGGCTTTGCTATTTTCTTGGGTCCTAATTTGATCTCCTGGAAGTCCAAGAAACAGCCTACAGTCTCTCGGTCCTCTACTGAAGCCGAATATAGGGCCATTGCATACACAGTTCAGGATACATTACACATCCGGTCCATTTTGTTCGAGTTAGGCGTTCCTGTTCGTACGCCTGTCCGTTTGCTATGTGACAATGTCTCCGCCTCATATTTATCTACTAATCCTATTCAGCATGCACGCAGCAAACACATTAGCATTGATTATCATTTTGTTCGAGAACGTGTCTCACATGGAGATTTAATTGTTCGTCATATTCCTACACAATTTCAGCTTGCAGATATCTTCACCAAATGCTTGTCTCCGCAGCGGTTTATTTTTCTTAGAGACAATCTGCGCATTGTTCCCCTGCACAGATTGAGGGGGTGTAATAGTGTATTTAAGAATATTAATTAGCATTAATTAGCTTTCCATATTTTATTAGTTTCCTTTTGTAATCAGGATACTTCTTTATTATATACTATGTATATGACATCCAGGACTACCACTTGGGTAAGCCATTCTATTATTCTCACAATGGGTTCCGTATACGGATATTTACTCATGACATCAGTATATTAATACAACGTATGACACATTATATGCACAATTATATGGATTATCCATATGGGACTTGATTGTACAATATAGTCACAATATAAGAATACATTATGGTGTAATTCCATATATCTTATAACCCATATGAATATAATAATACCCATGTCTCCACTCAATATTATTGAATATTACCGGGAGTCGAGATAGTACTATCTCGATCACCAGTACACAAGACTGTGTGCTTGGTTAACCGAGACACTGAAGTGTATTCACTGATATTGTATGAATATCAACTTAATTTAGACATTGTGTGTAAATTACAAGAAAACATAGTAATAAATTGTTACCCAGTTGGTCAAATCATAAGAGACTATCATTACTCGGTTGACAAGCCTGAGTTGCAATAAATCGTTATTTATACTAGATATTCATATCAGTATGATACATTTAAGTTTGTATAGATAAAGTGAGTATATCATTTGTATGACAATAACACCACATAAGTAATATGTAAATGTGACTCATATGATAAACCATATCATATGAGTCACATTTACATATTTTCAACCTAGTCTCCAGTGTTTTCAGGCTTATTTTTGCATAAGATAATATCCCCATGTATACGGGGATATTATGTCCAAATGTAGCACGATCATTAATTCAAAAATATACATCAACCAAATATATTTGAGTGAAATTAATGGTAATTCTCACAATTATAATGGGAAGTAAATTATTGGTAAATTAGGAAAAAATACACTATTATTAACTTACATTTAATAATTTTGACTTAAATGTAAAGTCATTTCTTGTATGGTTGCAATTATCCATAGGGACTCATTGCAACCCCTATGAAAAATCCCAACACATTGTAATTTCAGACTTGTATGTTTTTTTCACTTGTGTATACACTCCAAAATTGATCTCAAAACATAGAATTCTAAATACTTATCAAATACTATGGGTAAAACATAATAGTGTTTACATACTTAGTTTAACCTATATCTTGTTAAACTGTATAAATTTGGACAGTATATAGTCTATATCACTTGTATATTGGCGAGTGTTTCTATACCTTGTAAATATAGTTATATAGAGAACAAATTAGGTGTATTCTATACATTATCTCGTATGGAGAGAATGTACGAAGTCAACACAACCCGAACATTACACTTAAGTATTTTGAGATCAATACTTAGATAATTCAAAATCTTGATTGTATCCGATTGGGATTTATTTGAGAGCATAAAGGTTTATCACCTCTATATAATTTTGTTTAACTCATATATTTATAGACCATATTTGTTTATAAATTTCAATACCCGACTTAACTATCGGAGATCATATATTCGGTTATAAAATAGAATATATTATGTATACACATGTATATAACGTATACACAATTACTCAGACTATATACAAAGGAATACTAATTTATATTTGATGTAAATATGCATGAATTACTGGAGATCTAATATATGCCCAATAATATTGAATATTGTTATCAATCATTATATAGTCATTGAGAATCGTGTTGTTTCTCATACACGAACAACCCATGTTCGTGTATGAGAAAAACATATACGAACATGGGTTACATTAATCACATCTTTTGAGATTTCTAAATGTATGAGATCATTTACACACTGGTTGACTAATAAACATATGTTAAACTCATAATTTAAGATTACAATTGAAGTTGGACTAATATATATCCATAATAGTATTTCAATAGAGATACTATTGAAAAATTTACTTTGATCTACAAGTCTCCAGTGGCTTGTATTCAATAAGAGATCCACTGAATAAACTATTGAAAATTGTCATCGGATTATTAACCGATACAATCTCATTAGGACCGTTTACACAGTCCGACTGTGAAAAAACATACAATTCCCAAAAATGACCCATTTATGGGTTCATTTACTGGTTATTTCGAGACTTGAGTAAATACACTAATGCAAGTCGTGGTTTTATTACAATAAAACCGTATCATTGTAATCTTTGGTTTTATTCAATTTCATTATCCGTGTAAATTTATCATGTTTCGCACACTGTCGGTGTAACCGATTATTTCGGATGCGCATTCACTTATGTGAGTCGTGTACAAAATTTAAGTCAATCTTCATCCGACGTTCTAAACATACGAAGATTTAGAACTTGAGATCAAAACGTGTGTATGATCTTAGTGAATATAATACATCCACGAAGTCCTAATTTAAATTCAATACAAATTGTAAGCCTTTCAAAATTTGAGGCTTGTATTTAGGGAATCAACAACTTTTGACAAGATTTGTACAATCGACATTTTATATCGACTAAACGGAGTCAAGTATTAGACTCCGTTTAATACACTTGTAATATACCAGTCATGATTAATAGTGTATATTAAGCCACTTGGCTCTATACTCATTATTTGGTATATGAGTATCAACGATTGAGAAACTGTTTTATAAGCACCAGTACTGTGTATACTATATCACGATCATGTTGGGTATCCGATATGATAGATATTGTGTAACAAGTCTCATATTATCACCTTATATTGTGTAAAAATACACCATTCTCGTGACTCGGTTGATTGTATTACCTAGTATGATTGCTAGAAGAATCATACTAGGTAATACTATAATTGTTAACACGTAAAATGACCATTAAAGACATGAATGGAAAAGTATGTGTGATTAATTTAACTTTATATATATATATATATATATATATATATACACAAAATTGGAAAGAGTTTTAAAATTACTCCCTCTGTCCCAAAAAAATTTGTTCAATTTAACTTTTCTTGGTCAATGCTGGCTAAGGATGTTTTTACTTGGACTGTAATTTGTCCCAGACCAGACCAGTCCAGACCAGTTCAGACCAGACCAGAGCAGACATGGATAGTTATAAAAATACAAAGAAACCAGACCTTACCAGACCAGACCAGACGAGTTCAGACCAGACCAGACCAGACCAGCAAATTACAGTCCAAGTAAAAACATCCTAAGTTTGACCAATGATATTTTTTAATACAAAATTATTTAAAATATGAAAATTATACTTTCTCCATTCTTTTTTTGTTGCAACATTCACTTTTTCACGTTTTCCAATGCACAAATTTGACCGTCATTATATTTAATTCTGTATTAGTAAAAAATTATTAAAAATCAGATTATGAAACTTTTTTAATGACGAGGCGAATTCAACAATATTTTTCAAAAATAATAATTCACATACATTATAAATAAAATGTAGTCAAAGTAGAGTACATGAATAGTGTACAATTTACAATGTTGCAATTAATGCGATATAGATGATAGTATAACCATATTGTTTACTAAAAAATCTTTCAAAAAAGTATAAAATTTATAATTATAAATTGACCAATTTTTTTTGGTAGGGAGATGCTAACTTTTAGAATTGTAAGAGTATATATTTAACCATTCATTCAATTCAATCATTTCTAGGTTCTTGAGTGTGGGACAAAAATATAACCAACCTTGTGATCAGTGTTCCACCAGTCGGTGACAAGCATAGTGAAGTTACCAGAAGGTTCCGGGTAGGGAAGTGGAATAACGTCTCTACGAATGATGTTTAGGGCGCCAAAACCGCCGGCTGCTTTGTGCAATTGGGTAGAGAGGAAATATGTGTAAGTCCCAATCTGGTCTTTCATTTGTAAGTTATATGTCCAATTTGTGTTTGGGAGAATTGGGCAATTTGTCCCCAGAACTCCATCCGTCCATGAGCTTTTCCTCTGTTTAATTCCGTTCCTGATTTTTACGAGTAATTTTTTTCATTTCCCGATGGCCAGGATAAAAAAAGTTGTAAGACTAAAGACTACTAAGTTGAAACTTAACAAAGATAATGGCACATGAAAAAACCGTTATCTAACTCATAAGCTAACTTATAAACAAATTTATCATATATGAGTCACACTATTAGGATTTTGTTAAGACTCATGATATCATTCTAAAAAAGGTCAACCTGATAGACAAAGTCTTATATAACTTTTTATTATTTTCTAACTTTTTGAAGTGAGACAACAACTTTAGCATGCCCTCTCAGTCCGAAACGGGCTGGACAATATCGAGTTGTATAAATAGGCCAAACATATCCTCATCAAACCACCCTTAATCACGAGTAATCATGAGTGCTAACCTATCAAATCACAACCGGATTTCACTCAGATACCATATTAAGACCTGTATTTCTATCCTAAAAGGTCAACCTTGTAGGAAGAATATCTCAGAATCTTATATACTACGTAATGTTTTATTGTTTATAACTTTTCAGTGTGAAACAAATATTTAACATCTTATGATCCATCGAATAATAAATTTATCATCATTCCAAGATATTGAAGGTTAGATGTTATGTAAATAACAAATGTACAAGACTTCTAAGTAAAACCAATATAGCACTCACCATGTGAGAAGTATAGGCTCGTCCAGCTTATTGAACACATTTACAATAACGTTGTCATTAGTAACAACGTTAATCTCAGGTCCAGGGAACTGGCCGTTAATCAAGATACCCTGTCCCCGACAACATGAAGAAACCAATTTACAATTTAGTAGTAATCATTGATCACGGACCATATCATTAATTATATTAATCATGTTAAAAAAAATAAAAAAAATCCCAAAAAATCACTCTATGAATTCACCTAATGAGGGACGGATCTAAAGGGGGACGCGGGGGCGACCGCCCCCTTGGACTTTCAAAATTTTCTACTACATATGTAATACTTTAATTAGATTCGCCCCCCTTAACTTTTAATTTTCGAAATTAATATAGTTATACATAACATCTAAAATAATTTATATAACTTAAATAAATAAATTATACTATAGAACAAGTCATTGTTTAATATTGAGGATACTTATTACATACATAAAAATTCTTAGTTTTATAATGTTTAATTATCTTTATAAGATAACTAGTACTTAATTTTGTAAACTATCAAAAGATATTAAATACCAAAAACACCAGTTACACAATTTTTAGATCATGTGAATAAAATCCAAAATACTAATGTTTATTGACAATAAATTACCAAGTCATTTACATCTTACATTCTAAAAATACTTTATTGCATAGATAATAAACTTTAACTTATTTTAGCTTTAATACAAATATAATAAATATGCACTATATATATTCTATCAAAAACAAATATGCACTATATATTTGAACTTGCAATATAATATTATTCTAAAAATAATAATCTCATACGTACTATTGTAGTATTAAGAAAACTTCTCGTGACTCATGAACCCCTCCTTTGTAAACAAAAAATGTAATTCAAAAATCAAATCTTTATTTCTATAAAACTCATATAGTTTAACAATGTAGAAGTTATTTCAAAAGTATTGGTGAATGTGTACATGTTAAACTCTTTATCTTCAAATAAAATATTATATATCTTTTTTATTTTAAAATTGTTTCCTTTGATTTGCAATTTCTGATGTTATAATGTATCAATACTTTTTCTTGAGCACTTCAATTATAAATTAAAGTTTTTTGCCATTGTCTAATCTTAGAATTGAATGTTATATATAGATTGAAATATCGTCAGGTATGTATTAATGAATTGTTTTGAATAAAAATAGCCGCAAAATCTTACACTAGTGAAAAAATTTCGCATCGCTACACTAGCAAAAAAAATGCCCCGTTACACTAGTGATTTTTTTACCCCTGCGATAACCAAAAAATTTTGCCCCCTTGACTCGAAATCCTGGATCTGTCCTTGCACCTAATGAATTTGAATGAGTAACAAGGGGGGTTTTTGTGATTGGTTTATGAACTTAAATTATATTTAAACAAAAAGATGAACGACTTATGTGGTTTAATTAATGAGAAGAAGAGTTGGTTTTGCTTTTATCCACTTAATGAAATGTTCGTCGATCCCGGTTATATCTTTAACTATCTTCAATTCCCCTCGAATACTCAATCGAGGAGTATATCCAATTCATCGAGGGTAGTTATTAATAACGAGACGCGTTCATTAATAAAACTTACTTCCGAGTTAATATAGAACAAGCGCCGTATATTCACTCGATAGTAGCAATAAAATCAAGATGAAAACGATTGAGATTGATAACCTCAACACAAGCGGTTTATTGGTTTAATCAATATAATTAATTCCTCTTGGCTTATTAACCATGAGAAGCATGCATTAACAATCCAAGTTTACTACCATTGAAAGAACCGAATTAATAACAAGCGTATTAACCGATTGATTCTAGTAATAATTAATATATGAAACAAAACTAGTTGATCCTTTAAGTAATGCTCAAGATATTAATATGGAATATGAATAGGAATTAATTAATACCAAGTGAATAGGAATTAATTAATACCAAGTTAATTAAGTAAGAAAGAATATTAAAGAAGATGAATCCTACTATAGTTAATATCAAGATGTTAACTAATTGTCATCTTAGTAACACTCCCCAATATTAACATAGAGGAAGAAATAGCTATTACTATAACTAATGTCAAGATGTTAACTAATTGTCATCTTAGTAACACTCCCCAACATTGATATAGAAATAATATTTAAAGGAAGAATTAATATTCAAGGAAGAAGATTAAAGAGAATAACTCACAACTTACAAATTCATTAAGCTTCAAAGTAGCAAAACCAAGATGGAAGAGTTTAGCTCCTCATTTGGAGACTAAACATGCTATAAAAATATAAAAGAAATACTATTCTAAACTGAGCTTAAGAGTATGGAAGAAGGAATGATTTTTTTGTGAAGGAAAAGTGTGCTATTTATAGGTGTTTTTCAACACCTTGGGCCGGGTACCTGACCGGGCCAAGTGCCCACCCGACCGGGTGCATGTCCAAATCAGATAATCTTCCACGTTCTTGTGTTTTAGAACGTTAAAATGTCCCGGGTCAAGTCAGACCCGACCGGGTCCAGTTCTTTCCACTGAGCTTCGGTTTTTAAATCAAACCCGACCGGGTGAAGATTTCTACCCGGTCGGGTGGATCTCCCTGGGTTGCATTCCTGCTGACTTTTTCTCCTTTTCCTTGCCAAAAACTCTACCCCTATTCTACAACTATAAATGGAAGTAAAAATAAAACAATTACAACTGAAAACAAATGCTTACAAACTGACTAAAAATGATAAACAATCCACACAAAATAATTATAAAAACATACATATATGCACTACAAACTATATAATTATATCAGTATACTATATAATGCACAAGTCTCATGTACACTATGTCACCGCGTGTACATGGAATATGTGTAGTTTAATTAAGATATATGGTACTAAATCCATATTCAAATCAGTATGTGTATTTTTCTCATAATGATTTGAATACCTATTGACACATATTCATTTGTATACATAGGTATAAAACACATTGGTATTGAAATGAGTGCACAATTAGTGGACTATCTACGATCGTTAACATAGACTATATTAATTAGCTATGTCCGGATTATAGACAGATTATATCACATAGTACTTGGTTTTACTATGAAATAATGGTAACTAAGTGCCCATATAATGATACACTGGTTAAACAGTGTATCCTATCACGAGTAAAATAATAATTCCCTATGCAAAAATACACAATTCAGTAAGCCTTGAGATCTCTTAAATTTTGAATACGACATCAGATGAATTGTAAAACATGGGGAACCCATTGTTAAAAGGGTTACATTACGATAATTTAGCCGATGGGTTCCCTTATTGCAAAAGTATTCGTACGACCATTTCCGATCCTATTAATCGGTGACTCGAAACAATTTTGAATAGTAGGGAACCCATTGCAACTCGAAATGAGATCATCCTATGTCGTATTCAAAATTTAAGTCAATCTTCGTGACTCGGTTGATTTAGTAAGCCTGAAAAACACTGGAGACACTTGTAATCTCTTATTCAGGCTACATGTTAACATACTATAATAGATATACACGTGTCTCCAGTGTTTTTCAGGCTTACTAAATCAACCGAGTCACGAAGATTGACTTAAATTTTGAATACGACATCGGATGATCTCATTTCGAGTTGCAATGGGTCCCCTATGCAAGTCATATCTTGTGTTTTACTATATATCGAAATATGTTAAGACTAGTGACACACTGAAGATTTACACTAATGGAATGTAGAGCCTATAAGGCTCTACATTCCATGTATCAATAGAGACTTAAGTGTACACATGGTACATTTAAGTCTCATTAAACATACTAGTATTCCACCCGTGCGTTGCACGGGATGAAATGTGCAAGATGATGGGCCTATTTGGCACTCGGCGGTTAGCGGTATTAGCGGGTAGTAAATATCGGATTTGATCAGCGAATTTGACCAGCGGATTAGTTTGTTGGGTTGCAGAGAGATGTTTGGTGAATTAGTTGTTTGATTGTAGCGGTTAGTAGATAAAAGGACAAAAAGGACATTATAAAATTTAATACTACATACTACGTACTACTAATTTATACATACATAATAAATGTTAGTTAGTAAATTTAAAATCAACTAAATAAGAATATGATAATATAAATTATTTTACGAAAAGTGAGCCCCTGTTTCTCAAAACCAATATGCGTAGAAATCAAAATAGAGAAACTAAAAACAAATTGAATTAATTACTGTCCATCAAAAAAACAAATTGAATTAATAAGTGTCCATCATTATTTTTTGCGGAGAAACAATACGGTAGATATCCATCTCGCACAAGAGAAAAATTAGAGAAGCCATAGAACGAATGAAACAGAAAGCTTCAAGTAACTGCAGCGAATCAGATCGAATACGAAGATGAGGGCAACCTGTGGAATTCAATAATCGTTTCAATCTGCCAAAACCTAAACGCTCCAATTTACAGCGTTTTCGTTTTTGGCGGTTTCGTCCAAAACGCTGCTGCTAACCTCCGTGTGCCAAACGCAAGAAAAACAACGGTTTCAGTCATGCCAAAAGCTGAAGTGGTCAAACACGCTGAATTGGGGTTGAAACGCCGGTTTCCAAACGAAGCCGATATAAATGTTAACATATAAATGTAAGCATAGATCATATTATTATTTTTATCACGCGAATAAGAGTTCCCACAAACAAATAAAGTATAATACATATTAAAAGTTTAATAAATACACATTTTATAAATTATCGAAAACTTCATCGTAGACAGCATTATTTAAACTACGGACTATTTCGTAAGACTCCTAAGACTGTATTGTGATACCTTCGTACAATAAACACATAAGCTGCAATGACATGACACAAGTAGAACTTTGATGCCATAATTTCTACCACTAATCAATTCCTCATTCTCTGTGTATAGACTATCCATTACTCAAGGTTGTAATTTGTGTTTTCAACAACCTATTTGAAGAAAACCCCATATTTTATTTGTATGAAGAAAGTTGGCAAGAATGTTTGTTGAATGTAAATAGACTTACCAAATATAGCTCAAGGTTAATTTTCTTTTTTCATTTATAGTTATGACATACTATATTGCTAATATTGGAACTTCATATTGTCCTTTTAATTTTAAATAGCAAAGGCGATGTTAATTT